AAAAGAGACACAAGCAAATCATATGCAAATGAAGTCATCACAATAATTACTAATTTGTCATGATCATTTTTGTTTCTGTGTAGAAAAGCATTTTGTTAAGTAGTATTTCATATTGAAACCCCGTAATTTTTCTTTGATTGTTATCTGCTCAGTTTGTTGCCATGCTTCCTTCCAGTTATCACTGTCTGCATATCCCTTCCTAGCAAACAAACTCAGAGAAGTGGCTCTTCCAAATTATAATTTTTTAAAACAGTAGATTACTCGCGACATTTGAAATTTGCATATTGTTTGTATGGGTTGATTACTTCGGTTTCGTTCCAATTTCCATTTTCCAAGGATGGCAGTTATTGAACCGTAATATGTAATAAAATCAACCTTGATAATAAATTTATTTTTCAACTGAATAAGTGACAAAATCTCCTCGTTATCATTGGTTAGATTACATATGTGGTTTAACCAATTGCGATAAAACACAGATTTCCCACTAATAAGCACGTCTTTATTGTTCTATATAATGTGCGTATCTGAACTTAAACTTTAAATTCAATATGCAAGTAAGCTTAATATATAGTACATATTCTAAAGTCAAAATATATCATTCAATATGCAAATATGTAATGTTAAAATTGGAATATATTGATATGCAAATACTAGACACTCTAACATTTAATATGCATGTGATTGGCATCAAATTTTAAATACATTGACATTGAGAAGAATCATATTCTAAAAGTTTAGACACAGAGACTGATTATAAAGTATATGGTGAAATAATCATCTCAATAACATTTTCTAGATAGGAAATAGTTTATTTTTCAAACACGAATTATGTTTGAATTATGTTTTAGCCTCTACCAAAATTGTTTCTGCAAAACTTATTTTCAAAATTATTAAGAATGTAATTTGTATGAATTACTTGTATAAACCATCAGGAAAGGGTTTGTAATGTGTTGGAATCGAGCCAATGTCGCCATCAACTATTACATCTGAATCAAGTGACACAATTTGAGGAAACATTCCATTATTTTGTGCATTTTCACATCTTTTCCTAGTGGCTTGATGGGCTGGTGTGTAACCTATGTGTTTCTCGCCACATAAAACAGGACCACGCCTCTTCAGTGGGGATGGATACGTTAATTTTCTGCCAGGCTCTTCTTTTAAGGTTTTAGAAACATTTGCTGTACCATTATCAATGATGTTGTCACACTTTCTGTACACTAGAATGATAAAATACAGATAAATTTAATCAGTAGAGTAATTTGACTCTTCAATTAATTGTACATGCAAACAAACATAAATGTATTGCAACATGAAAAATGCGAGTTGAACTCGATGGCGGCAATTCAGTCTGTTGAAACTTGCCAACAAATATGCGAGGCACACAAGGGTATTTTCAGCATTCAATGGGGTAGGTTTATTTGCTATGTTGATATAATGTAATATGTGGCAATCCATTTTACTATGTATATAGGTACATGTACATTATGTATATTAAGGGGTGTGTACTTCTTGTACATTTATAAGAGGTGGGTTTTCGAGGGATTGATTTTCACTAAAAGTTGGTGCATCCCATACCTGTGTAGAAATAATGCAAGCAATCCCACCAGGAATCGCCTCGCTGCAACAGGGTAACCACCAATAAGTAGCAGACAATAGGTCTATAGCTACAAACTAACAAGCAGTAGGTCTATAGCTACAAACTAACAAGCAGTAGGTCTATAGCTACAAATTAACAAGCAGTAGGTCTATAGCTACAAACTAACAAGCAGTAGGTCCCAGTTTCTGGCCAAAGAATCTGTGGACAGGTGAATAAGTCAGACTGGATGATCTACATTCATCAACATGACAAACGAGTGCATACAAAATGTAGGTTAAAAGGTCAGGATTGAATGGAACATGCGTCTCCTTTGATCAAAACTGTAGTATAGTTTCTGACAAAGAAACCACATATAGGTTACAGGACACTGTATATTTTGATCAGGATTATGATACGTTTCTACAGTAAAGAGATACTGCGAGCGAATCATCTATCAGGATTGCATGGTGCCATCAATTTCGACCATGGTGTTGGTGCAGTTGAGAGGGCAAAAGAATCTTGCACAATTTGTATGCTATGCTAGGCATATAGTATACATGTTTTTCTTTTATTTAAACTATTAAACCAAATGTTTTAAAGAGAATGGCCAGCCACGCGATTTATGAAACAGAATAAGATTTTGTACTACAATAAGCTTAATCTCAAATTTATCTTGATATATCATTGGAATATAATCACTAAATTTAGGATTGATTAAGAAAGCACATCATCGATACCATTGGAATGTGAAATTAAAAGATTGGACTTCTTTGTACCTTTTGTTGTTTTGTTTTCCTCCCGGTGTTTGTGACTAACCAATACACTCACTTCACTTTCTTCATATTCAAGATATGATTGTTTTTTTGATTTGATGAGGGAACCAGTTATGCTTAAAGCTAGAGGCTGGCCTTGTAAGGAATCCACAATTCTACAGAAAGATTTGTAATTCTTTTTGTCATATTCTTGCATCTCTCTGATTGTGATGAACACATCAGCCGGAGTGACTCCTTGACTACACAACATCAGTTTCTGAGATGCAGCATTTGACAAGCGGGGAACTGAGATTTCATCATAATGTTGTGAAGTGTCTCCATGGAAATCAGATGACCTAGATGTTATGATAATGTGACCTTTTATTGGAAATGTGGGAAAGTAGTGCTTGATGAGTTCATAATCTGTAACATCATCTAAGATAATGAGCCAACCAGGATTGCAGTCCAACCATTCCAAGACTTTCTCTTTCATCTCTATGGCAATGTGAGTACTTTTTTCAGTGGGAGAATTTAATTTCAAGTCGAGATGTTTAAACTGTTGAAATACAAATACAGTAAATGAGTTATGAAGAAGAATTAGCCTTGCTGTCCTTTCATGGTTAATGCCACTTGTGTATTCATTTTTATCTCTGTACGCATTTACATTCTGGTATTATATGTTCACAGATTTGTGAGCTGTTGCTAAAATTGCATTAGCATATCAAATTGTAAAACTAAGAATTTTACGACTAACTACACTATATGTCAACCTACTATATATTGAAATCCACGATCTAATGAGGTCAAAGTTGAGGCATTTATCCAGTATCTACCAGCAGGGTACTCCATGTGGTAGCGGTGAACATAGTTGATGGCTATTTGAGTTTTACCAGATCCATCAGCCCCTGTCAAGACCTGTAACAGGGGTGAGGTAATACATTTGTAATATGTACAGAGACTATTAAAGAAGAGTATGTAGATACAAATACAAATTCATAGTCATATAGGTAATTTGCAAGTCCAAGAACAAAAACAAACAAACAACTGACAACAATAAATAGCATACGTACATGTACACTGTTTTCTTTGGTAACTTTTCCAGCATCATCCTGTTTATGACATCTCTTGAAAGATTTATAGATGTTCCCCAGAAGAATGTCATGTCCAACGAATGGATCAACAGGTAGTGGTACATTGAGCCCTATATGGACAACAAATTATTATGGAATTAAGTATTATAATTTGCATTGTTTAGATCTGAATTACTTATTCATTATCCATGGATGACATATAGGTTTGTGGTATTAAAATTAGTGGCCCACAGGAAGACACAGGGGTTGGTAATCCATGAAATTGCATGGCTCGCTCATTGCGTTACAAGGCTGGGCAACACAACATACATGATGAAAAAGAATGTATTTTTCTCACCTGTTATCAAAACATCTTGAGATCCAGCAGCAGCAGCAGTACTGATGCTTTTTGGAGCTGATTTTGTCTCCTTGGAATCAGGTGAAAATGTTTCTGTTTGTAAATGTATGATCAATTTAGTGAGTTTAAATTGGTTACATTGAGTCACAATCAGTCAATTCTATGATAACAATAATATTTAGTGTATCTGGTGTATTAAGACATATGCTCCTACTACTAAGTTCCTTTCCTGTCTGTCACTAAAGTCCTCCCTCTCACTAATTTTTAATTTGCATACATTTACCAGTCTTTATATTTTTGGTTGTACTTTATTTTAAAGATATAACTCCGTTGTGCCAGGAATATAATACATTTACAACAGAATATCATATACTCACTAATTTCAGTGACAACTTGTTGAAAATCTTCGTCAAAATATTCCACCTTTAGTTTGTCAGTATCATCAATCACAGGCTCTGCAATCTTCTTCAGTATTTTTAATAACTCTCCACTTTTCAGTTTCATCAATAATTCCTGTGCTTGTTCTTCATTTTCTATTTCCAGATCCAGCAGTATACAGCCTTTACGTACATCAGCAATCTTGCATCCAAGTTCACTTTTCAACTGTTCTTGTTCATTCTCACTCAGTTTTTCAAAGTATTCTTTAAGTTCATCAATGCCACGTCCATTGGGGTAATCAATTTGTAGTCGCACTAAAGGAAGCAAAAAAATATTATTCATGAGGAAATGACAATATTACTAAATATCATTTGTAAACTCATGCAGGAAATACTGACTTTGTTTCTGTCAGCCACAACACTTATTCAGAGCCAGCTGTTAAATAATTAATTAGTAATTGCCTTGATTAAAGGAATAACACTGTACTTAATATATATCAATTATAGTCTCTATCTGAATTTTGCTGCTTGTTCCTACTTCTATATGTCTGGTGTAAGACAGATGTACTTTCTACTCATCTTCTTGGATATCTCCTGCAAGACATATACTTCTACTACTAATCTCCTTGGATATCTCGTGTAAGACATATACTTCAACTACTAA